TATCATGTTAAAGTGTGAATCATATGATAATTCTTTAACTTTGGAGAGAAAAGTAAAGGTAATTAACAAAGTAGAAAAAGGAATAAAAAGAAAGTGTGATATTACCATATCGCCATTAATCAGTGCCATTTGTTGTCAGGTGTTCCAGTGATTTTTAAGATGGTTACAAAATTATGACACAACAGAGTAGACATCAAAATTAGCATGATATTATTATTATTATTATTATTATTATTATTAAATTGGCAATTCACACTTTTTCTCTCACCCATCATCATTTACTTTTTAACATATCTTACATGCTTGTAACAAATATGCAACAGTGGTTAAAAACAATGTTGGAAGTGTTTTGTTTTTACTGACAGTTTTTTCTCTTGTTTATAAATGATTAGTTGCTCAAAATTCGCAATCACTTTTCACTTTTTGCAGTCTAGACCAGTTTCACTTTCATTTTTTGCTTAGTGTTAAGTTTAACAAGAAAATATAACAACAAAGTAAGTACAGTATAACTGAATTACTTATTATCAGTAAAATTGGTTAATTCAAATTATTTTTCACTCCCCTTAAACTTTGAATTAACCAAGTTCAACTGTATAACTATAAGGTTCATGTTAGGGGTCATGTTTAAAAATTTCAATCATTCTTTCATTTAGAATTACTGAACATACAGAACAGAGAAATTTTGTTATTTACAAGAATAAAAATGTAGAATGTTAATTTAATAAAATATTATAGAAATTACTTAATTAATAATTCCAAATTCTAAATCCAAAAAATATTTTAAATCATAAAACAAACAAAATATTTAATAAATGACTTTTTAAAATAAAAGTTGAATAAAATTAAAATACAAAATAAAGCAAATCCCAGCAGCTAAAAAGATGTTTATAGATTTATCTTGTATTGTTCTGCTGAGGTGGATTTAGATTATTGATTAAAATTTAAAATATGCAGATTTCTATGCATGCAGAAAATTGTGCAGATATGTTTTATCAATACACTATTTTAAGCAATTCCCAAAAATTTTTCTATTTGAAAGATTCATATCATTTAATCTCTCTTAATTTGCAAACATACTTATATTAAAATTTTTGATATTTATAAACAACTATTTTTATTGACAGGAATTTATCTATGCTGTCTACTGTATAGTGCATTTATTTGTTAAATACATTTTTTTTTATAAATCTGGAATCATTATATAATAATAATGATGTAATTCATTAATTGAACCATCATTTTAAATCATCTAGATTTTTTATAATTTGTTTTTGTAATGTCAAATAATAATCAAGAGCTTTACTAAGTATGACAAGATAAATTATATCAAATGTACTATCTATTAAAATTCTTAATGATCAAAAATATATTTTATAAAGCTTTATGTCATAACAAATCTTTGATCTGTAAAAGTTACTACATATGCAGATGGAAAATTTTTTGGACTGTCATACATGATGTGTGTGGCTGTGCATTGTCATGCTGTAACAATATACAAAACTGAGCAAACCATGATATTTGGATCTTTACTGTAAGTTTAAAATGATTCTGAAGCAAGTCACAATATGTTTTACTGACAATCCTCTGGGCAATTGAACCTTTATGGACCCAGAGAAGTGTGAGCATTACCTTGCTGGCATAAGTATTGTGTGAAAGTTTTTTGGTTTCAGAGATGTGAAATGTCATCACTCCTTGCTTACTCACTTAGTCTCTGGCTGAAAATAAGGAACCCATGATTGCCTTACTGATGACAAATCATGGGTTCTTTCACTATTCAACTGCAACTGTTCCTCTTTGGGGCATATCTGTATGGGTGCCATTATAATTGTTAAGATCTGTTGATGTCACAGTTCATGTGATGCCTTATGTACCTGTGTGTGCAAAATATGTATGCTTGAAGACATAATATTTCAAAATTATAGTCACCCCAATGAGCTTTAAAATTTATCATCATATTAAGGTTACTTTTTCACTCACCCCACTTTTTCATATTTTTATATATATTTCACATATATAAAAGTTTACTGTTAAATTTTAATTTATGGTGGAGAGTTTTTTTTATTAGTTTAAAATAAAATATAATCAAATAATAAATATAATTTATTTTTAAAATATCAATATGAATAAAATCAGTTTTTGAACCTTGACTCATCCCTCCCACATGCTATTTGATAGAAATTCATCCTTGCATTGTTTATGAATTAAAAAAAATCCACAAACTACATTAAAATTAATAATTAAAATGAAGATTAAGAATATTACACTAAGATTTTGATTTTCATGCATAAAAATAGACACTGTTCAATTCTGTTTTAGTTTGTTTCATAAGTATCTTGAAAACTTTAAATTATTTGTGCAGAAATATTTATTCTTCATTTAAATCCTTTGATGAGTTAGTTTACCAGTGGCTCCCTCTCCTTCCAGAGTTAGTTTCTATTTAAAAAATATAACATGTACAAAAAAAAATTAATAGCTCATAATTCATTCATAAATTAATAGCTTCTATTTGTAATTTTAATAAACTAGGCAATATTTTCTCTCAACTCAATTGTGTTGAAAAACTCCAATTATTCAAAAGGAGACAACAAGCGTGAACAACTATTAGACACCATATTTATCTTTATGCTAGAAAATACTACACTAAATTTTTCAAAACTTAATGCTTAATCTGTAGAGCCTACTGTGAGATGCTGGTACTCTTGGTTAATCCAATTCCACATACAGGATGGAAATGCTAAAATCAAACAAAAGAAAGATTTGTGAAATCTTTCCTGTCTGTCCTAACACCAATTGAGATAATTTCTATCACATCTCAACTCATGATTGACTTGACTTGTCTTCTGAGTGGAATAAAATATAATTTTACCATCAACTGGAATTTTAGGAGAGTTTGTGTTTAAGCATTACTACAACCATTTTCAGGAGACTGTGAAATTAGAATTAACATTATGAAATTTACATTTAAAAAGAAATTCAGTTTAAATTTAAGGAGTATAATATAAAAACATTATTATTTAATATGTAAATTAAATTTAACAACATATCATGCACAAATATAAATATAATGTTAAAACTATACATTAGGTTGTTCGGAAAGTAAGTTCGTTTTTTTACCACTAGACGGATTAGTCGTATTTTTCCCACCATTTTCATTCTAAACCGTATTATCATTATATATTTTGACAGCTAGCATTTTAAGGCTTATTTGTAAAAAGTTTTGTTTCATTTTGTGCAATTGTTTATTTTTTGTGTCCCTTCAAATATGGAAGATCAGAAGCAGCATTTTTGGTACATTTTGCTCTTTTATTACCGAAAAAGTAAGAATGCTGTTCAAGCGAGAAAAAATTGTGACATGTATGGAGAAGATGTGTTGAGAGAAAGACAGTGCCAAAACTAATTTACAAAATTTCACTCTGGCAATTTCAATATTGACAATGCACTACGTTCTGGATGGTCAGATAAAGCCAATGAAAACAAAATAAAGGTACTGATTGAAGCAAACTGCTGAATAACAACATGTGAAATCACTAAGAAATTAAATTTGTCAAATTGAACTGTTTATGAGTACTTGAAACAAATTGGTTTCGTTTCAAAGCTTGATATGTGGGTTTCACATGTTCTTAAAAAGAGATGCTCTCTTTGATGGGATTTTAAGGAAATTTTTTTTGGAGCTTTTACCAGACAATTTAACAATTGATTCGAAAGTGTACTGCCATCGAGTAAACAAATTGAGTAATATCATCAAACAGAAAAGGCGGCTAGAATTGATCAACAAAATAGGTATAGTGTTTTACCACGATAATGTCAAATTTTACACAAGTTTGGTAACACATCAGAAACTGTTATAACTTAGATAGGACGTGCTATCACACCAACCATATTTGCCAGATCGAGCACACTTAGATTATTACTTGTTCCGGTCTGTACAAATTTCTTTTAACTGTAAGACATTTACTTGAAATGACAATGTCAAAAATCACTTAAATCAGTTTTTTGTAAGCAACGATCAAAACTTTTATGAATGTGAAATCATGCTACTACCAGAAACGATGATAATAGGTATTTGACCAAAATGGTCAATATATAATTCAATAAAATATTTATTTATTATAAAAATATTGTGTTTTTTTCCACGGAAAAAAACAAACTTACTTTCTGAACAACCCAATATTATGCTTATACTAATTAAATTAATAATTCATATTAATAAAATTAATAATTCATATGACAACAAACATATTTATAAAAATTACATTTTTTCATTGTATTTCAAATAAAAGTACTTTCATTCATTTTATGAAATTGATTGAAACATATAATTTTTTGTGGCTTAATACATCAAATTTAAAATAAGGCATTCAACATCAAATTAATAAAAACATTATAAGAAAAAGTCACAAAAATATGAAGAATGTTCTAGATATGACACATGCAAGAGAAACAATATGTAATATGCAAATGTTTCCAGTATTTAATCTTTTGTGTACCAATTGAAGTATTTAATATTTTCTTGCAAAGACATGTATCATCTTTTAACATGATGAGTTATTTCTCTAATTTTCATCAACTTTATTTAAACTATAAGATCTGTATGCAATTCTTATATGAAGAACAGTATTTTATATAAGTTTACTTTTGAAATTTGACCATCATTATTTAATGGAAAATTATATACAGTATATAAACATTGCAAAGCCCAATGTATTAATATTAAACCAAATGATTGCCATAATTCATCTGGCTATTTTTGCTACTATTAATAAGTAATTTGGTATTAGAGGTAGCCATAGGCACCATCCCTTACCAAATGAAATTAATAATTATGATAATTTAATATTTATTAAATAATTTAGAACAGTGGGAGAAAAGAATTGATCTGGAGTGAGATACAAAATTGCAACCTCCACTTACCATGTGGTTTGCTGCCAGTCATGCCACCCAGACCTCCGAGCAATTCCTCACCTCCAGACATACTTAAATCTTGATGTAACCATTCATGATTACTCACAGCATGGCAGGCATATATATATATATATNAACGTTATTATAACACTTGTTGGAGGAAGCTTATCTCTATAAATTTTTGATGCACATCTATTTAAATAAAAAAAATTTATATCATTCACAATATATAATAAACATCTTAAAAATAAATTTAAAATTCTTTCTTACTCAGGTTGTCTTGTGTCAGGTATTTTTCTATTGCTGGGAATTTTATCACTAGCTGCCTGATTAAATTTGTTACGTGCATAAGGATCAGCACCTGGTTTTAATCGTGTTTTTGCTATATACGATTCTTCATCAAAATATTGCCATAACACTCCTACTTCTGCTGTTCCTGCTTCAGAAGTCAGTTTTAACTGTTCTTCTATTACAGATTGTTTTAATTTCAATGCTTTATTTTCAAGCTAATTAAAAAATGCATATAGAAAGCATATATTAAAACAGCGTATTATGTATAGAGAACTAATTATTTTAAGCATATAATAAAAATACAGCAAAATCTCTATCATTTATGGACTTATTGCTTAAAAAAAAAATCTTTCAATTTCTAGAGTTTCTGAACAAATCTTATTTAAACTATGAAAATTAAATCTGCATCAATTATTGCTTGATTTATTGTTTTTCCACAACTATGGTTCAGGATTTTGAGCCCTGAAGAACATTAATCCTGTATTGATTGTTTCTAAGAAAGCACAACATCACACACAAATGTTATTGTGTGTTAATAGTGGTAAAAGAAGTTGATGTTTTTGAACTTATATGAGGGTAATCCCGAAAGTAAGATCTCCTATTTTTTTAGAAATACAAAGAAATGTTTATTTTCAATAATGTTTATATCATTTTAAAGCTTGAACATTTATCTATTTTTCTACTTAATCAGCATTTCGGTCGATGCATTTTTGTTAGCACTGTGGCAGTTTTTGTATGTCCATGTCATACCAGCTTGCCACCATGTCGTGTGAAACCATTTGAAATTCATCACCAATTGACAAGTGTATGGCAAGTCGTGTATGGATGTCAAAAACATCCTCAAGTAGTATAGGGAGTTTGCAGCTGATTGTACTGAAATTCATGATAAAAAAATAAGTGGAAGATGTCACTTTCCGACAAGACAGTCGCGAAGGTTGAGCAAACCATGTGCGAAGATCAACGGATCACTCTGGATGACCTCTGCATTTTGGATCTTGGGGTTTCCCGAAGCACCATTCATAGGATTTTAACAAAAAAGTTGCAATATCAGAAGGTGTGTGCAAGATGGGCCCCACGACATGGCAGCAAACTGGTATAATATGGCATACAAAAACTGCCACAGCACCTACAAAAATGCATTGACCAAAATGGCAATTATGTAGAAAAATAGATAAATGTTTAAGCTTTAAAATGATATAAACATTATTGAAAATAAACGTTTCTTTGTATTTCTAAAAAAATAGATGATGTTACTTTTGGGATTACCCTCATACTTCATTACCTTCTTATAAATCAGCTAATCAAACAATACTTTAATTACACACCAGCTAACATTTTTGGTCCTTTTCAAAGGTCATCATCAGGTTTCTACATTTGAAACAATTTTTTTGAATGTATTGGAACATTGAACATAATACAAAATCAAAGAATTTCTAACTTATATTTAACATTGTAATTGGTTGAAATTAATAATGTACAAATAAAACAAATCCAAACAAACCACCACATTAATAAAAATCATCTTATAATAATAGAGACAACATAGTCAACCCATTTAACTAGAATAATTTAGAAATCTCTTATACAGAATTTGGTTTAGATTGTCTTTCACTTGCTATTTTAAAGGCACTGGCTCTTGCTTGCTGACACTAACTGCATATTTTTCTGAATTTGAATCATCATAAAAAAACCACCTAGTCATCCCATTTCCTAGTAACTTCCACTATTTTATCCAAATTCATTTCTTCAAAGGTGAAAATTTTCTGATCCAATGTCAGAAATTCGTCCATTGTTCATCAGATGATTTATTGAAACAAGACTTTGGACATTAGATAACTGTTTTAAGAGGTCTATGTTATCCTCATCAAAAAGATTTGAATGTAGAATTAAACTAAAATAGCTCTAATAGTTTCAGAAAGGATTGTAGATTGTTTCTGAAGTAAATTCATCCCACAATCATCTGATCATAGAGAGATCTCTCAGGAAAATGTCCATTGGCTTGTCATTATTGATTAAATCAATGAGTGCATGACCTAGGCATTCAGGGGTGCCCGCCCATACATTGGGGAATGTGCCCCCTTTTCATCTGCATTGCCATTTTCCTAATCCTCAAATTCCACTATTAACAAACAACAAAAAATTCATAACTTCTAGTCATTCTGAAAATATAAAAGAAACTAATGAACAATATTTGTCCATCAATCCATGCAACTTCATCATATGTTGATCAAAACTTTACCTTGACAACAAAGAACATTCCCTGTTTTCAAGCTCTGATTACAACCAGTGCCACCCTATGGGAGTGCTGATCCAACGCAGAATCATAGTTTAAAGCTTCTTGCATAATGTATGATGCCCTTTTTTATAGCTTGTGCCTCTTTCTATAGTCTACAGGCACCACTGGTAGCATTGATAATGTGCTTCAAAACACTTAATTCCAGCATCCAAGAGTTGAAGTCAGTGCAATTCTGAGGAAGAAATTCTATCTTGACATGGCTTAGCATCTGTATTTTACAGTAAGAATCATCATACAATAGCAGTAGGACATGACAGTTCGTCTCATGCTTTCATTGAATTCTTTTGCCAATGGCTGAACTCAATTGTTGTCATCCATGCCTTTTTGTTGTGTCAGTAATCAACATAAAGACAAAGTTTTTAAAACGTCTATCTTTTTAAAGTTCCTCTGTCTACTGTTATTGTTCTCTTGTTGCTTCAATCAACATTTGCAACTTTATAGGATTCAGATGAAATGATCCTATTTGGCTGTATTTGATTATACAAGCCATTTTCATCCATATTGTACACATTCCTTAACTTATGTGCCAATAATATTGCTTAATTTTGCAATGATTCAGGTCACCAAAACTTTGTCCACTTCAGTATTTTCACCTTGTCTTGTGCTGAGAAAGATCACACCTATTTAAATTGAGACAATCAACCATTGCTATAATTAAATACTGTTATTATCCCTTTCACCAAACTTGCTTGCTGTTTAATGATTACATCTGTCACTGTACTATGTTTAGTAACCACTTGACTGACCCACAGCATTAGGATATTCTCAAACTCTTCATGTTTGGTATCTTTCAAATTTTGTTGCTATTGAAATGCACTCCTTTATAACCCACCTTATCCATGCTTGCAAAGTGTCACCAATGATCTTCTATTGACAAGTTTTTCCACAAAAGTGAAAGTGACTAGCAATTTCTTGCTGACCTGCCTTCAAATATTGGTCCTTGTAAAATATCATGCTTTCTCAAAAGAACAACATAATTCTTTTAACATACATCACAAGAACAGCATTTTCAGAGACCCAAGACAGTAAAGTTTTGTAGCCTTTCTTTTATATCATCTTTAGTTTTCTAGAAAAGTCACTCTTTTCAATTCTATTTTCTGGAAGTTTCTACATCAATAAAATTCTTATCTCATCACAGTGTAAAAGGGATAAATAGCTGAATTACTTTTGATCCTTTGAACCTGTTCCAATGGGTCTGCCACCTACCTGTAGTGTTTATTCTTGACAAAAGCACAAATAAACACTAAATTTACATTAAATATATTTGGATCTCAGATTTAACCTTCAAAATTCTTTAAGGGCTTAACATTTTGAAATATAGGGGCACAAATAAGTAAAAACTGCTCAATAAAACATTCCCGTTTGGGGAAAATTGGCACATCTATTTTGTGATGCTAAGCAAAATGGCATAATTTCATGGGCACCCATGTTACATAATGGCAGAAAATCTGTTCACATCAATTTTCTGGTGTTATATCAGGGATGCTAAAATGGAGATTGACCATACTGCTTAATAGCATAGAAAAGATAAGGCCAATGTGGTCCTAGTGATAAGACCAACTGTTCAAAGTATCAACACTTTTTATTTCTTAAATCAATAATATAGTTATTAGTTATAAAAAATACATTGAGACTATATATACATACATACATACACAATATATACATAAAGCAAAAGCTTCTTTATATTTAAGAAAGGAACTTTTTATTTTTCATCATAGGTGACAAATTTTTGTTATGCCACTGCTAAATACTTATTTAATATTCAAGAACATTTAAATACATAATTAAATGGCAAAACTTATGCAATTTAAATTAAAAATTCATTTATTATTATTCCAAATATTTTCATCTTTCAACATTTTTACTTAAAGTTAATTCAAAAATTTATTTTGAAGTACTTCAAAATAAATTTTTCCCCACATCATTTTGAACAGTTTTACCACCGATCAAAATTCAACATTATACAGTAGATTCTTGCCAATCCAGCCATTCCTTGCACAGAGGTGTCCTGATTAGCAAGAGTGGCAGAGTACCGAAGCACGACTGATTGCCCTTTGGCACCAAGCTTTTTGGGAGGAAACAGTCAAATAATAAAGCAAAGAAATAAAACTGAATAAACAAGATAACAGAACATGTAATAAGACTAACATTATCGTGGGTATCAACTTGCTCACAACGGAAGATATACCAGATAATTGAAGGCAAGATTAGCAAGTCCACTGTATTACTTGTAGCTCACAGCTTATTAAACTTATATATGTTTTATTTTATGCCCATAGATCTATTTACTATGTTTTAACCATAAAATCAAAATTTTGTTGACAATTTAATGAAACTATTTGGCATCAGTTAAGAACATATCATCATCACAGTATTTAAAAATTATTTTGTTCATATATTTTATGTTTTCTTCTTGTTTTAAAACAGTATAATCTCTTACGACAATGTTTGACTAGAAATTATATAAAAACAACCGAAAAACTTGATTAAACAACGAATCACGAGCTCGCAAGACTGTAATAAGTTAATCAGACCTGACTAACCTTATTGTCTTTCCACGATAACGTGAAGAAATAAGCCACTAATATTAACCAAGAAATGGCAATAATAACAACATATTTTATTTTCCGACGCATTATTAATTAACATTATACTAAATTTCCTTAACTATCGATTTCACGTTTGAAAGAAAGACTAGAACTCGAGTGTTACTCCTCTCCTCGCCATTATCCCTCAAAATGAGTTTCGAACGGATATTACGAATGACGGACATCTGAAATGTAATCGTAGATGTGGCCCTCTGGTTTCTTTCCAGCATTATAAGCAAAAATAAATAAATAAAATAAAATAAAACATAAATATTTTCTTTTAATTTAAATCTTTTTTTTTAAATTTCTAATATTAAAAATAAAATAAAATCCACACAATGTTCCGTCGAAAATGGAGAGTAAAAGCGTAATACTCTCCCTGTAGGTGGGCTCTGTTCCCTGTGGTGCGTGGTTGAACCTTCCGTTTATATGAAGAGATCATTAACCGATGAATAGATATGTTTAAAAATAAACATTGAAAAGAAATAATTATGATTAAAAAATGTAATCGTAATATGACAACCAACTTCTTTTCTAAATTATAATAAATACAAAATAATTGTGATGTATCGCTTATTTGATGTATTTTTTCAGCTATGGTCATATTTTGGGTGATTGTGCCTACCCGTTATCTGAACATCTGCTAACGCCATATTGTGATAATTGAAATCTCAACAGCGTACAAGTATACAATAAAAAATTATAATCATGAAGAAATATAATTGAGCGAGCATTTGCACATCTTGTTGGACGGTTCAGAGGGCTAAAATTTTTAGACACGTGTCGAATGGACTTGATTGTAACAACAATTATTAGTTTATTGCATTCTGCACAATATTTTATACAAACTTATGATTTAATAGAAGTAGATGTTGCTTTCACGCACGAGCGATCACGTTTGTAGACGAAAGGGTTCGGGATGGAGGTCGAGAGACAGCACGCCCGACAGAAGTGCACACAACTACAGATTTTCTAAACAAATACCCGTTTATTTATGTAGAGATATTTACACATATATACATACTAGAGTTTAACTATATACAGGTGACCCCCGTATAACACGGCACTTCTATAGCACGGATTCGCTCTAACACGGTTCGAGAATTGATACCATCCCTCGTATAACACGGTACTTTTATAGCACGGATTCACTCTAACACGATTCGAGAAATGGGTAAAACCCTCGTACAACATGAAATGTAATAAATTTTTACATACTTAAGTACTAATAGTTCACGAAAATAATAATTTTCGTGAACTATTAGTACTTCAGTGTGTAAATTTTCTATTCTTGTCTCCATACACATGGTCCTTCGCGAAAATTGTTTCAATTTTGCCAGATCTCGACCAAGGACTTTAAACTACAAGGATAGCCAGATCCCATATATTTGTTAGCATGACCTTGGATCTATGTGACGTCACAGCAAGTCCTCTACTTCAACATGACAGATCTTTCAAATAACAAAATACGATAAAATATTAAATCATTTCTGAATTAATTATTAAATTACTACTAAATGTAAACTACTGTAGAATTTTCGGATTTAATAAGTGTACTGTACGTCAATAAATTTACAAGTCTTTTGTGTAATATTTATTTAACAAATTAATGAGCTATATTTTTTATTATGTGATTATCTTACTTAACTTTTTAATTTTTTTTCGACAATCACCATTTTCAGAAGGCATTCTTTTCAATATTTTATAGTTTTCTTGTTTAAGATTTCTATAATTAATTCTTATTATAGTTCTTAATTTACAAAAATCTTTTATTAAAGTAAAAGGTAAAACTGTTTCCACTGACTAATTCTGTACAACTCCGGGGCCTTTTTTATACGATTCATCGTGATATATTTCGAAATATTTATTCCATTCTATAATTTTTGCTAGCCATTCATCAGTAGGTTTAATAAGCCCTCCATAAGATAAACGCTGCACCCATGACGGAATGCTATAGTTGTGATGATTTTTAATTTTGTTAGTGGAATTAATTAAGTTTGGGTATTTTTCTTTATATTTATAGGCAAAATATCCT